AACTTTTTTTTAAAAAATATTTTTTATGTTCGCGTTCGGAGGTTTTTGGGCGTTTGTTCGCGTTCACCTCCGAACGCGAACACGGTGCTACGTAGCCAGGCAGCTGTGTTTGACAATATACATATATATATTGTCACGAAACTATTCACTAAGCGCGTAAGCACGTGAAGTAGAAGAAGAAATAAGATGAGCGAAGAAAAGAAAAATGAAAGGACCGACAGACAAAGAGATAGACAAACCAGAATGACACAAAACAGTGTTCTCTTATTCTTTGTTTCACTGTATTTTTATTTCTTTTAGTGTCTTACCAACAAAAAATATATATATAAAAAATCACTGAACAAAGGATAAAAATAAAAAACAAAGACACATTGAAATCATTCAGTTTTCCAGTCTTCTTAACCCCTCCTCCACCGTGTCTCTAACGTACAAGGCTCGCCACATTGATGAAGTTGAGCGCGAGCTGCCCCCACCCCCATATGCCGTAACAGCCCACTTGCACACTATGGGAAAGAGGCAGGGTGAAGGAAGAGGTGTTAAACACAAGGAAGAGAGGAGCAGAAAAGGAAAACCAATAGGCAGAGGGAGAAGAAAAAAAAAAATGTTGACACAAACATCTCCTTTCTTTTACTGCGTTCTTCTTTCTTTCACAGTTTTGCAGTTTTGGTGAAGAGTCTACCACATTCGCTTTACAGCGCACCTGCACTTCCTTCTTCATTTTTCATTCTCATTTTCACCCTTCAAACTTTTCATTTGAGGGTGTTAGGGTGCAGGGTACAAACAAAGTAAAATGACACAAACTTATGTTCTTCTTTTACTGCATTCTTCACTGTTTTGCAGTTTAAGTGAAGGGTTTCCCACCTTTACACATTCTTGTACACTCTTTTCAGCGAACCTGCACATTTTTGTCAGGGTGCAAGGCACATCTAAGTAAGACCCTCACGATAGATAGGACAACTGTCATAAGGATGCGGGCGATGGTAGCAGCCCTCCCGCTGATCTACACGACGAAAACCATTCAGGTAAGCAATTTCATCACAGCAAGAGCTAGGGCTGCTAGCATTAACCACACCTTTGAAGCATGCACGACATAGGGCATGCACGACAGAGGGCAGGCCATGACGATTGTGGGCGTTCACCATCACAGTTAAGTGCACATTCGCTATAGCGCCCACAGGTACAGATGGGACATACTGCATCTATAGAGGATGTTCACAATCCGGATACAGGTGGCATCCCTGCCGACAGTGGGCGCGAAAAAATTATACAGTTGTAATGATGTTGACGAAGTCAATTCTTTCCACAACCAAGTGTAATTGTGTCAGTGCTCTCACAAAGGAGGAGGTCACAAGGTGTTAGTGCAGCATGTGGGGGAATGAAGACTAAAGTAGGCACGGTGACAAACATGGAGGTAGGCACGGAGACAGACACAGAAACGGGCATGGACATAAGTGTGGAGGCAGGCACAGAGACAGGTGCAGAGGCGGGAACGGAAGTACACGTGGTACCCATAGAGTCAGTAATCTAGAAAGAGACAAACACAAAAACAGGCACAGAGACAGGTACGGAGGCAGGCACAGAGATAGGCGTAGAGGCGGGCATGGAAGTACACGAGGTACCCATAGGGTCAATGACCTAGAACAGTTGCAGGTTAGGGTAATTACACACAAGATCACAGATGGCAGTAATAGTTTGCACCATAGCACCGCCATTCCATAATTCCCAAGAACCAGAGGCACGGACAAGAGCGGTGTAGTGGCCAGGAGCACATATAATATAGGCACAAACGTGCAAACAGTGGTCCGGGTCGCCACCCGAAGGGGCACGCTGCATATCAAGTCGGCGCCTTATCAAAGCAGTCTCCAAAACAGAGATATTGAATCCCCCATGTCGAGTGTAATTACTATCTTATGGGGGATGTAGAGTCGGGTTAGCTCACGTTCCTAAGCATCAAGAGCGAAAGCAATGGCCAAGAAATCAGAGTGAGTATATGGTTCCCGACGATAGGCTTGTAGGCAAATGTTAGCAGCAGTGAGGCCACACAGATTCGGTGGAGGCCGGTCAGGCGGATTTTCTGCAGAATCTCCTACAGTCCCCTTGCCAGGTTCATCCTCGGATGGTCCCTCGCCATCATCCCTCCTATTCTGTGTTTGCCATGTTGCAGAAAAGTCTGCAGTCGACGAGCGTTGCAGGCGTGGTAAATGCTTGGGGCGACAAAAGACAGGGACGGGATGTTCGGGAGGGCCGTGGTGGGAAGAATGAACAGGTTCTTCTTCATCCAAGTACAAAGATGGAGGAAAGGGGAGTAAGAGGTTGGGAAGCAGGTCGAAGTCGGCGTCTAGGACGGCGAAGTAGGCTTTCTGCAGGGGAAAAACATGATTACGAAGTATATATATGCTACAGACTGTTGAGGGTTCAACCGTTTGATGAGTCGGTGAAACTCCGACGAAATAGTTCGTCACAGCCCCTCATTTGTTGTCCTCTTCTCCCTCTCTGCCTACGGGTTACCGGGCAGCTCCGTATAGTCGATATCTATCGTCAAACTGAGTTGCCCGATAAACCATAGGCAAAGAGGGAGAAGAGGACAACAAACGAGGGGTTGTGACAAACTGTTTCGTCGAAGTTTCACCAAATATATATATATATATATATATATATATATATATATATATATATATATATA